CCCCAAAACCCCAAAACCCCAAAACCCCAAAACCCCTAAAATAGAAGAGAAGGTTGAAGTATCATATTGTATTATTTATACCATCCTCATTGGCTTAAATAACCAATATAGATCATTATTCAAGAGCCAGGCCTTCTACTGTGCGAAGAACAGCTCGTCATCGTCTCAGATAGACTGCTTTTTAGGAATTGACTTTGCCTTACTTTCCATACTCATTTTAGAAGAACTTGATATATAATTGCCTGAAATTTAGTGAGAAAAAATTTCATCAACAAATTCATAAAGAATCAGAAGAAGTTTACGAAAACATCAATAAAGGAGAATGCAACCAAAAAAAAGAAAATTAATAAATATTAAAGTAATTAGGAAATAAGCAATTCAGAATAAAAGGGAATATAGAAATCGAGACTAATTTTCGAGATTTAAGATGATGAGATACCAAATTTTCTAGAAGCTACTTTCACATTCTTATTACAATCACATCAAATTGCATCGAATTTAAACGTGCTGACCTCAGTCAGCAATATGATTGACTCTTGGTCGATTTAGATTTGTTGGACAACCCAAATTTTCTCCCAATGACTTACCGAAACCTGCAAACTCAGGAGAGTCGTCCGGAATTGCCTTGGACCCCACTGCAGCTTGTTCGTGTTTGACTTCTTCATGTGCTTTGCCGAATGCGCTGCGTGCCGCTGGCTTGTGGTCACCGAGAGGCTGACTCTTCGGAACGTACTGGGACTTCCTTCTGTTTGGCTCGACTACACTTGACTCAGCAACGAGGCTTCCGAACGAAGGGAGGCTATTTATCATTATGTCTCTTGTTTTTGTCAGCAAAGTTGTCGATGGCTGTATCTGTATTCGTTATTTCATCATCCATCACTGCCTGGCTCTTACTGTTTTGCTGTGCTTTGAAATCTTCAAATTCTGAAGCACCGAACCCTCCAAATCCGGTTTCATGATTGTCTAATTCATGCTGGCTTTTAGCTTTATTTCGAGAAACAACCTTTATCATAAGAATGGGAGAACTTTCTCTGAGGAGGAAGTCCATCACCATCATTTAGTTCTGATTTTGCTTTCTTATGGGAGTTGTGGCAGCCAGATGCAAAAATATCATTTTTATCAACAGGAGAATATTGCATGCCTCTATAAGGAGGTTCATCTTTAAATGTGCTACCAAAACTTGGCATTGATTCTCCTCCGAATGAAGGTTCAGTGAAAATCTGATGAGAAGAAAAAGCATCTCCTTTATCTGGTGTTCTGACTGGAGAGATGAATGGATTAGAGGAATCTTCAAAGTCTGTGAAATATGGATGCTCTAGAATAGTTTTTATGTCGGGCCTATCTGAGGGGTTGAGACTGAGCATCATATCCATTAGATCGATGGCTTCAGGACATGCATGGTCAACTTTAAAAGATATTGATCTTTTAGGTAGCTGGGGTATTTCAAACCCAAGGATTTCAGCCTTTTCATAAGCTTCTGGCCACTCGCTCTTTTTAGGGAAGCCGAGAGCATATCAATATATTCTTAGTTGATCAAGAGCATTTTTACCACAGAAAGCCGGAGTCATTCGGTATCACTCTGCCATTATTCACCCAATTGCAAATATGTCAACCTTCTCGTCATACTTTGGGAACTTGAGTATTCATTCTGGGGCTCTATACCACCTTGTCGACACATAATCACTAAACGGTTCTTTATCTTTAATTTTGTCGATTCTCATGCAAGTTCCAAAATCAATTAGCTTTAAATCACTTCCTTCAACAAGTATCATATTTTCAGGTTTGAGATCTCTGTGAAAGAATCCTTTCTCATGCATATGTCCTACTGCACTTACAAGTTGCTTCATGTAGCTCCTTATAGTCTCTTCATCAAATCTTGCTCCAATATTTTTCTTATCTTCCATAACTTCATTAAACATTCTTCTTGCCCTGCTCCATAATTATATGCAATCTTCCTGTCTTTTTCTCAAAAATGATGTCTTCGACCTTAATTATATTAGGATGGTCAAGTGTTCTGAGTACCTCAACCTCAACTTCCTTTGCCAAATCTTTCTCTGACTTAAAAATTCTATTTAAACTTCTTACAAGCGAAGAACTGCTCTGTATCTTTCTTATAAACCTGGTACACGTTCCCGTAGGACCCGTTTCCTATCTTCTCAAGCATCATATAATTATCCATATTTATTCTATTTTTAAAATTGAATTAGGGGTTTTGGGGTTTTGGGGTTTTGGGGGTTTGGGGTTTTGGGGTTTTGGGG